ACAAATTAAACAACTTATAATAATTAATTACTTAAATATACTAAGTATATAAAAAAATTTCGTTTTAATATTCAATACATTTCGAATTTTATAAAAATGTGCAGAAATATACAAATAAATTTCATCATTGGATTCAAATTATTATGATTCGTGAAGATAACTGACAAAAATCCAAAAAAGTGAAAAAGAAAATAATAAGCAATTGCATAGAAATTCGCGCTCCAATCATAAATAATAATAATAATATAATATAGAATATTATATAGATAACTATTATACATATTTCGATAATGTGTATTAAATTCATAATATACGTAAAAGTTTTAAGTCCTAACAAATGTTCAAATTATCGTTTGTTATTCTTGACTAATTATTTCATTAAGATACGTAATTTTTTTCAAACATAAACAAAAAATATGTACAAAAAAATAATTATGATAATAAATAAATAAATGTTATACAATTTTTACAACAAAATACTTATAATTTGTAAATTGTTATAACTTTGACGAATTATGGCAATGACTACATAATGGTATGGAATCCTGGTAGTCATGGACGGAAAACAACTAAGTTGGTAACATAACAAAATATACAAAATATAGTTCAAATCTATTACGTATTGATGACGTGAGTCGGGAATGATCGATGTGAATTGTTACGTGGAATATTTAAATATTTAAATTAGTGATGGGTCAACTGTTCGAAAATCGAACTTGACAATATTTGTCGAACCAAACTTTCTGGCTACGATAGTTTGAAGTAGAGACAGATTTATACAATTTTCGCCTAAGGGCAGATTTAATTTTGTCGCCCCACTAAACTTATCTATGAGTAAAGCGTATTTTTAAGTACTTATTTGGAGTAATTACTAAGAAAAAAAAATCATATAGTCTAATACGAATCAGAAATTGATTATGATTATAGGGCTCGGAAGTTTTAGAAGCTAAAAAAGGCAAAATATGCACGAAAAAATTACAAAATATTCAAAAAAATTACTCTAAATTCCAAAAAAAAAAAATTACATCAGATGTTGTAAATAAATTAATAAAATTATAATATACATAAAAACTGAAAAAAGATTATAAATGATTGGCATTTTGACATCTTATTGAATTGAAAATAATATTAAAAATATCTTATTAGTATTTTTAAAATTACGATAAATACTTTTATTAAAAGTTTTGAGTTTTATATTCAATATTAATTGAAATTTACAGGCTAAGAAAGAAAAATATCAATTTTTATAGAAAAATATGAAATATGTAAATATACGTATAAAATCAATGAAATATGCACTTTTTTAGCTAAAATTGACTAAATATGCAAAATATGCATTTTCAATATTTTAACTCTCCATTATACAGTTCAGATTTCTAGCTCGGCCTGCTATAAACTGAGAACATACAGAACATAATGCAATTCCTACAACTTCCGAGCTCTATTGTTATGACTTATGAGTTTATGACTTAAGTTCTAATCGAGAAAATAGTATACCAATTTAATATTTATTAAAATATGATCTATTACAATATTTTTGAATAAATTTGCTCTACCAATTAAAACAACTACAAGTCTATAACAACATAAATTGATGATCAAATAAAACTTTACAGGTATAAAAAAAAAATAAGAAATCATAGTTTGTATTACACAATTAATAAATTAATAAATTATTTCCTTATTGAATTATAACATTAAAAATGATTTCGTTTGTTTGTGTCTTGCTTTTTTTTCTATAAAAGCTTAAATTATGTCTTAAAATTAAAAATTGTACTAGTAATTTGAGTAATATTTAATTGGAAAATTGGTGTTTCTACGTGATAACTAATAATATATATGTAATTTATTATTAATTGAAAATAATATTTTAAATTTTTTTTTCTTATTAATTATTAATTATTATTTGTTGTGTACTTATCTAAAAAAAATTATATATATATATATATAATCAGAAATTATCTAAACTTATTTTGAAGTTGTAGATTTAAAATATTTCTAAGTTCAGTTCCGTTAAAGTTCAAAAAAATATTTTTAAGTTCGATTCGATTTCAAAAATCAGGAATCGACCTATCATTAGTTTAAATGTTTTAAATGCCTATAGAATAATATTTAAATCATTAATATTATTAACCATGCATGTTATTTATTTTTTTGTTTACTTTTGCTTCGGTGTATGAATTAAAGTTAAAATCGTGTGGATTGCGCATCGATTTCCTAATCAATTGCGCAGCGCACACACATTATTAATTAATTAATTTTAATTTAAAAATCTCGCGAAATCTTTTTGCTGTAGCCAGTATATACGTTTAGCTTTTATCTACTCACTACAGCCAGTAGTCTTCAAGACGTGAACGGTGTACCTCGTTGTTGAATATTATGTCATTGTAATATCAGCTTGAATTCATTGTATACGAAAAACGATTCTGAGGTGTGTGTGTGTGTGTCTTTCATTTCTATAGCCTTTATTCTTAGAATGTTTTAAAATTAATTCATAACTATACGAGCATAAGCAATTTATTTTTGATCATCTATTTATTTGAATGTTTAATTACCTCTGTTTTCATCGCGAATAGGTAAAATACGTATTTCGTATTATAATTCATTAAAACTATGACTCGCACTACTGCGCGAGCTGGAAACGCATCAGTTGCAACTCGTAATGATTGTTGCGCGACGTCTCACAAAATGGTAAACGTAGCACGATCTGCATTTTCGACTGTGACTCGCAACAACGTCGCACAGCGAGTGGCAACGAGAGGGCGATGTTGCCGGTACCAAAGACTTTTTTGAAACGATCCGTTTTTCGAGAACGTTTCTCCGCAACATACGGTCCGTAACAATACGGGTTGTGAGTTTATTTTTTCAGGATTTCTACGGTCCGGGACTATACATAAATACGTATAGGTATTTATTCTTTCCGCGAGAATACGGTCCGGGACTTTACAGTTAGGATTTTTACTGTCCGTGAAAATACAGTCCGTCTATTTCTATTCCAGAATCCTACAGTCCGTGAGATTACTTTTCGGGATTATACATGCGTCCGTCGCGATTATCGGACGCGATTGCACGATCGAATGTTTTATGATAGCGTTACACGAAGGGAACATAGAAATCAATCGTGTTTAATTAATTTAACTTATCGCAATCGTATCGCGTTTACGAACATTCGGTACCCACGTGAAACCACATGATAACGTGAGATGACAACGCAAATAACGTACTATTGAAATTTTGTCAAAATTGAGTTGCATATCGATCTACACATTTAAAATATTATAGTGATTCGGTTGACGTCATAAAATTGAGCGAAAACTTTTTATGTTTCATTTGAAATTCAATATTAAAATAACCAGATGGTGTAAAACGTACTTAGTGCATAGATTTTTCTAAAACGTACTATTTCTAATGTAAATGGGAAACAGGAAGGAGAACGTATAATTGCAAAACGTACTATTTACAAAAACTACTGTGTCTTAGACTTCATTTTTAATCGTTATATTTTAAAGAATCTTTGTTTATCATATTATAAAATTTCCAACGTGAATTAAAAAAAAAAAAAATGTTTATGTGTTTAACGCTTTAATCATTATGACCACTAAGTGTTACAAGTTCTCAACAATAAAATCGAATCATGATCATATTTATAGCACTTGCTTCTTCTTAAGTTAACTTGTGTACCTATACTTTTAATCGGAGATTAAATATTCTTAAAACTATGTCGAAAAGAATTAATTTTAAAATGTATGTATAGTATTTGCTAAATATACATATATATTATAAAGCTAAATGCATTATTGGCTGGAAATAATATGTTTTGATTCAACTTAAAATAACAAAAGCTATGTCTAAATACAAAAAAATAAATTTTGAAATACTTTTACCAACAAAATGTAGTTAAACAGATTTTTATCTATTTTTAATCATTTAATCAAAATTTATACTTCAGTTGTTTTATACACAGTAGAAAATGTCCTCTCCTAAAAAATATGTAAAAGACTAATATAGTGTGTTTTTCATTGTCTCCACATATTTATCTCTAATATTAATTAATGGTCGCCGGTTGGTATATACTTATATATGTATTGTATAGGTATATAAGGAGATAAAGAGTTTATGTTATGGCTATGATGATTTTCATGCCGAAAACAACAAATAACAATGTTTATTATCAGTGATAAATTATCACAGGAAATTAAAGCGTAATAGCGACCACCAAATACCAATATATTCCGAAATTGACTTGAAAACCAGAAGCTGTTTTCTGATATTATAAAATTTATAATCAAATATATAGGTACATCGGAGATTTGCTGAAACATTTTTTAATACCTAAACCTATGTAACATGAGCTAAAATATTCTGAAATATTCTCATTTCTAATATATGATAATAAATTCAATTAATAGCCAATAGATATTAAAATTATATTTTATTTATTCTGAAAAATTAGTAGGTAAACAATAAATTAGAACACTGAACAAGTGTAATAGTTATATAAACAAAAATTTTTTTACGTAAAAAAAATTATTGTCTACATAATTTTTAATGTTTACGGTTACATAAATATTTTTGTGTAGTGGAGGGACTGATATATTATTTACAAGACAAACGGTTATTTTCGTCCGTACATTTTTGTGATTAAATTATTTATACCGTCATATTATTGTAAATACCTTTCATTTATTTTTATACATTTTGTTACAAAAATAAAATAATTTTTATAATTCACGATATAATCATTACCGCACACAATGGTATAACTACGACCGCCTTAGGTAAATTTTTCTACATTTTGTCTTCCGACGTTTTAAACGTGGTCAAAAACGCCCGCCAAAATTTCAAACGATGTCAGTTAGCATGTTTAAACGGTGATAGCACGATACGATAGCTATGACATTTCATGGAAGAAAAATGGCTGCCCGATGCGTACGTGACGTCATGACTACGTTCGACCGCCAACGTAGATAGTTAACGTGATAATTATCACTAAACTTCAAATTGTTCGAACGTCAAACCTAACGTTTTTTCTGATGAGTTAAAATTTTGAAAATTTTTCACGAGATGCTGTTTAATTAAAATATTAGCGCTGGTAATTATTTATTAATGTTTAATCTCGTTTTTTTAGGGTACTTGCTAAACGTTTAAAGAATTAGGTCATTGATGTTTTACCGCATCATCATTGATCGTGAATTTCTGAAACGTGTTCAGTTGCAATCGTTTTTCTTTTTATCATAGTGCGAACAGTAACAGTTTGTTTAATACGATTTTGTGATTTTTAATTCCAGCCAGTAAAATTATCATAGGTCCAATCGCTTTTCGATTAAAGTAGTATACAGCTTACTGACATTGTATTTGATACGACTGCGTTGGATTACTACTACAATGACAACCTGCGAAGTATGCGTACACTTGTCCGACATCATGACACCACTGTCGTTTTCCAGCTTAATCACAACGCTAATAAAATATTTGGTCTATGAAAAGCAACTAATCCCATATCCTTATGACCGTTTGAAGTTATACGTGCAGAAATACAAAGAGCTGAACTTTGAGGTAAGTTGTTTACAATAACTGTATTTTGAAGCGCTATTGACTGTTATTAGTAATTTCAATGCCTGGTCCGATATAACTTGTTAAGAGTTAAATAATTGAGTTGCTCATTTTTGTTTGTTTAAACAGGAAAACAGTCGCTGTAATCTTAAAAATAAATACAAACTAGAGTCTGAGAAATACTATAAAAAAGTTTCAGATGCGATACAAAGTCTTGAAACAGTTTTCCAGGTAATTATTGCTACCTATCATATTTTATAAAATTATAAAATAAGACAATGGTGGTTAAATTTGTCATATATTTACAATCTGCACCTATTTGTTGAACAATTGTCTACTTTTGGTGTATTTGATTTCAATTATTTTATCTTCTTACAGTTTTAATGCAAAACTTTATCAAGTTGTGTAATATATATTGTTTTTTTCAGTGCATTGAAAATGAATTTCGTAGCCATGAAGAAAATCATATAGAATCAGTTGTAATATTAATTGGATCAAGTGTACTTAATCCTTTGACTGTATTTAATATAAATGTACCAGAATTAAGTTATTCACATTGTGAGAAACAACATTCTTCTAGACAGCACATAGATAATGTATTTAGGTGAGTATTTATTATTCATAATATAATATCATATTATTTTATGTAATGTTAACAAAATTCACAAACATTTTAAGATATAACTAAACTAATTGTATATTAAAAGCCTTCATAAAAATTGCTCATCAAATTAAATTTAAAATAAATAAATAATACTAGATTTAAAATACTTACATTCTTTAATTATTTATATATAACAAAATATATAAAAATATTTTGTCATTGCATTTAGGATTTCTTCATCAGTTAACGATATTGTTATAAATAGGTTCTTATCTATTTCTATATAGTTTTGTAGATTCTCAGGAGTCAGGAGTAAAAATATGTAAAGTATTAAACTGAATAATCTAATCATTTAATGGTGTATCATCTTCTCTCTCAAATTATTCTATTTTTAATTTATGATACAATAACACGTAAATTGTATTATGAAACATAAAATTTTGTTTAGTTATTGAGAGTGACTAATACATTCTAGAGAATAAATTTTGTAATGGGTTATAAAGCAAACCAACCATTGTTATGTAACATTTACATTATATAGAGTTTTCACTGTATATATATAAATAAACTATAATAGTAAATTTTATTTAAAAAAAAATGTTATGCAACTTTATTTATTTAATTCCCGACATGGGTTTGAAAAATCTGGTGCGTAATAATTGTAAACATATGTTCTTAAACTTAAATCTAAATTATTTGTTGTTATTTTTGGTCAATATTATATTATTATGTTCTTAAATATTTTATTCTTAAATTTAATCAAAAAATGGAGTTATGCAATGTGTTTTAGAGACTTAAAATTTTTTAAGTACGTATAAGTTTCTAGATTTCTAAGACCTTCATCTTCCTTTAATTAATTCTGATATGGTTTGATTATTTCTTAAAAGTAATTAATATTATAAAATGATGTGTGTATTAATATAATATATAAATAGGACTGTATTTTTTTTTACCATTGATTGAAGCCCAAAACCAAGTATAGGCCCACAAACCCCAAGAAGAAGGATGACTATATATTTAATTTAAAAAAATATTATCTCATTTATGAGTGTCATATTTGTTTTTTATTGATCTTATTTAAGCTCGGCAACAGGCCATTAGCTGTAGATAGGAACAGTAAATTTTTTGTGTAAGGTTTGATTAGTAGAGTTGGATCACTTATGTGTGTGTGTGTACGCCATGAATTTGTCACTAGGAACTCGAGTGGTCACCCATTTGAGAGCTAGTGACACCAACCGATGCTTGACTTCAGAACACATTAGTGACTGAGACCAATCACCGTGCCATACCAATCCATGATTGTCATATTATTAGCCTCTTGTCTCAACAAATTTCAAACAGACTCTTTATTCCATTTTTTAGAAAATAGTCCAGTTGTATTTCTGCTATCTTCATATTATTCATTGCATAAAAGAAAAAAATTACAGCTGTACGTGCAATTAAATAAACAAAACAATATTTTTTTAGTTTTATATTGAATTATTAAACCCGAAGTTAATATCTATCTACCTATAAAACTATAAGTTTATAAACAAAAGTAAGTTGATACATAATGAGTATCTAGAGCCTATAAACAATTCTTAGCAATAAGCATGATACTTTTTGTACAGCACAGTAAAATTCTAAACTCACGTGACCGTCACACTTTTTTAACCAATTGACAGCTAATTCCAAAATATCTACACAAATGTAAAAATTATTAACATTTGTAGGTATTGTTTAGTGTTCTCTAAATTTAAAATTGTATTTGTTCCATATTTTTTTGTGTAAAATATATGATTATCTTATCCTATAATCTTAATCCTGGCTTGATATGAACAATTGTTATTAGGGAAAGGGTTTCATCGAAAAGTATGTTTCCATCACAATAGTTGATATGGAACATTTAATTTTTAATTAGTACAAAAACATGTTACGACCAAATCACTATCACTTAAAATTTTTAAATCAAAGAATATGTAGTTTTATAATATTTCAAAAAATAGATAAATAATAAATACATCCTTTTTTAATAAGTTCTATTTATATTTTTTTTACACATATAAATAAAAATAAATTAATATATTTTTGCTTTTTATTGCATTAAAATTTGTTCCCTAATATTTAAATATGAATAATTTAACAATAAAACATCATAAAAACTCTGATATCTGTATATAATTGTTGTTATTGTTACCTAGTTTTGTTATTTTATATTAATTTAAAAATTAAAGATTTCCTTGGATCTGTTATTATTTACTATCTAAATGTGTCTTTAATATTTATCCATATGTTTCAGGAATATTTTGAATAATGACAAGTTCAATGATATATTAACATCAAATATAATGGTTGAAACAAACTTATATGTGATGTTCAAAGTAAAGAAAGGTGGAAAAATGGCTACTAATTGGTGTGTGCCCAAGGAGCAGTTTCGTAGTTTCCGGGGTAAGCAAGTAGTCTTGAGATTTGATCAACCACGTGATGAGATCAACGCGAAGAAATATGAAACATGTTGCAACAAAGACTGTTTAAATTTTGAAGTATTTGTTGATTTTGACAATCAGACAAGTGTACAAACATTGCAAACATTTAATAATACATTCACAAATAGTGTTGTTGATTGGTATTTAGGAAAACATCATATAACTGGTTTTAAGAATTATAAATACAATGGAATTCCTATATCAGATACTTGGTTGAATCCAACTATCATTGATCATTTAATATCATAACCTTATCCATGGTTTAAGGATAGGAATTTTTAGACAAATTAGACAATTTTATTTTTACATAATTATATACCTACTCAAATTTGTCAAATATGAATCTTACTATTAACATAATTTTTTAGTTTCTTTTTATTTGTATGTATTGTTTGTTTTTTGTAAATTCCATTTATAAACAACTCATGTATTGAATTATGTAATTATTGAAAACATATAAATATCATTTTCTTGCCAATACAATAATTATTGACAAATACAACATTAAATACAAAAAATTTCAATATAAATATCATCGTTTACAAATATATATAAAATAACAAGATTTTAGTTTTTCTTTTCAATATATTATGTTATTTATTGTTTTTTTTTTTTTTTACAATTTTTAATTAAATACTTGTCGACCATTTTATGTTTCTAAATTAATAATTCAAATTATTTTTTTTAAAAGCGATTAAAATTGTATACTTGAATTGTATGACTTGTGTAATATTTAATTCACTAAGAATAAAATTATGCCAATGTTACATCATTTTCTGATGTTTGCTTATTTGTTTACTGTTAATTGTAATGGGCTTAAGCCCATTACAATTTTTGAATATATGTATGATAACAAGGTTAATTTGATGGAAAGAAAGAAAATAACAGTACATTTTATAAACTTAATTCATGCATAAAATCTAAAAGTATAAAAATATGTTGTATGTATCACAATAATAATAATTGATGGATCCTATCAACCAACGGATTAATGTACTACACCATACTACTCCTACTAAGCCAAGAAGGCAGAGGGCAGAGTAAGCAACATTTTAGTAGTTTTAAGCAAAATAACATTTTCTGAATCGTCTTGTTTTTCCTATTACATTATCAAAATGAATTAATAAATTAATCCAATAATCCAATAAAACTCGCGGTAGAACTCCATGATACTATTAAGTACTTCAAAACGTATACGCATAATATTAATTTAGGAGTCAAATGAGTCAATAGAGTATCAGTATTGTCGTTTACCAAGGAAACGTGCAGTATAAGCACATACACACTTTTTGCTTAGGAATACATGATTTTTTTAAACTTAACTTACTTTGTTATTAAATTATTAAAAATATTTTAATACGCCATTTATTAAATAAAATAACATAATTAAAGTCTTCTAAGTTTATAATATTTAACAAAACAGGTTTTCATTAAATATTTCAGAACATTTTATATGATTATTATAAAACTATTAAATATTTAGGTATAATATTCTAGATATTTTGAGAATATAATAAAAATATTTAACATTAAATAAACTAGGAACATTAAATATTAAGGAACAAATTAAATAAAAAATTAAAAAATGTTTATAAACATTAAAAAAAATTATTAAACAAAATTGATGTTTTTCAATAACCAAGTTCAATGTTTTTCCAAAATATTTTCCAATTTTTTCATCCAAAAATCGCATCATGTTAAAAAATTTTTAAATAGTGAGAATAAATCATCAAAAATTTCTAGTTTCTGGCAGTTGGCAGCTGTCTTGCAATAATTTCGAAAAATGTGTTTTTAAGTTTTTGATGTTAAACCGAATCAAATCTGTAACTAAACATAAAATTAAATGATCTATTAAAATAGTGAATATATTATTACAAGTGTTATTGTATTAGTTTATAGACTTACTTGCATTGCTTGTCACAACCATTAAAAAAGTATCAATTGTTAATTTATGTATAATTATTGTTAACCTCGAATGTCGAATTTCAAACTCATTATGTGATATTCTGTTCCGGCTGCAAAAATATAGATTTTAATATAACTACGTATTTACACTCATTTATGAACTTAATATCAGGTATATAAATACGCTGATTCAGCATTAATAAAAAGCTTATTTTATTATAAAATATTATGCATTTTTTTTTATTTATTGGCAAAACGAAGTAGGTATTGAAAAACGGACAGATGAGTAGGTAATTAATTATCAAAATAACGTAACATCAAATTATTATAAAAATTGTATTACAAGTGTTTGATAAAATAAGATACTAACTCCAATTTTGCCTTGAAGGATTTTATAATTTTTGAAACCTTTTGAGTTCTGTTTACGTCATGATGAGGTACACGTATATATTTAGCTATTGCGAGCAAAGTAGTCCGCTCAAATAGTATTACCTCGTCGCATTCCATTTCCTCACCAAATGATTTCAATGTATTTTCCAATACCTGAACATTTGATATTAGCCTGTATACAATTGAAGACCAAGCCTAAAGCATAATAAAACGTTATTAACTGTTGTATACATTTTAAATGTATATTTATTACCCCGTATAATGATTCATCCCAGATTGATGACATATAGCAAGTAATATTTACAGGCTTAGAAATGTTAATTAGTTCATTTTCACGATCTTTGAACAACTATTAGATAAATAAATATTGTTGTAATAAATTGTTTAGCAAACATTTTTTAAATTCAAACCAACTTGAATATAATACAAGTATAAAATACCTTTTCCCTCTTGTCAGGTTCTACCAAATCCATTTTATGCATTAGACAAAACACGTTGGCAAAAGGAGAACCTTTGCGAATAGCACTTAAAAGTGATTGATAGTGCTTCAGATCTTTTGCAAATTCCTCGTCTTGATTTTTAACTTCAAACAAGTAAACAAAAACATCAACGTTTTGAAATAGATGCTTTCGTTTATGACCAAAATAGCTGTTAACAAACTTTTCATGTCTGTAATATAAATATTATTGGTAAGTACAATATATAAAAAAAAAAAACATTTAATTAATTAAAATTAAAGGTAATTTATTAGTAGACAGTAGTTAATGTGACATAGGTACTCATTAGTCCTTACTTATTATACTCAGGATTAGCAATATTGTTTTTGCAAAAATGCAAAACTAATTATTTTATAATATTGTATACTTGATTACTTGATGTAATATATATTATAATAATTATATAAATAGTGATAAGTACCATTTAATGTTGTATCATACTGTGATATATTAATATTTTTAGATTCTGAATGTATTATTTTTATAATGGTATGTTTTTTGATGTATACAGTATACACGATAAGCAATCGAAAAAAGCGAATAGCAAATTGAATCTAGTTCGTAATTTAGAAAAGTTAAAATTAAATATTATCAGTATTTTTCAAAACAATCAGGAAAACAAACAAAAAATTAAAGGAAAATAGGAATCTTTACGTAAATACAGTTTTTAACAAAATTAATTTTGTTTTTTTTTGGTATATAATTCAAAAACAAATTACCAAAAAATCTTGAAATTTAGCCAACTGTTTATATTAGCATATTTTATACAAATATAATAATTATCTAAATATTTCGATTCTTTTTGAGTTATTTGTAGCCTGTATGAATTTAATATTTTAAATTAGATTTTCGCTATAATTATTTATTGTAAAAAAGTTTTTGCTCTGTTGAAAAACTTAAAATTTAAATCAAAGTTTAACTTATATAGGCACAATTTGGTTATAATATGATCAAATGGTTATGTAATCATTTTAAATACATAATGTAATTTGACTATTTTTTTAAACTATTTATGGGTAATGTAAATTTTCGAATATTATTATTATTTTTTTATAAATACCAATAAAAAATTTACCAATGGATTTAAATGTTTAAAAATTCAATACAAGGTCTCTAATACGTAAGTTATTTATTTCTCAATTAAAAATATCGAAAATTTATAGTAAGAAATTCATAATATAATTTTTGTTTTTATATCTAAAATTTGAAAATTTTACGCAAGATTCTTTGTACATTTTGAAATCAATATTAAAAAAAATAATTCTCCTATAAAGTCGAATGAATTTTTTATGGCCATATGAAATTCAAATTTTTGTGTCATTAAATAATCACCAATATAAAATTATTCATACGATTTTTATTTTTCGTTGTAATTCAAAAACGAATAACCATATAGATACTTGAAATTTTCATCAAATATTTATGTTATCCTTTTCTATACGTGGTTTAATTTTTATAATATATTGATTTTTTTGAAATATATATAAGCATGAGAAAATTTCAATTTATTTTAGTTTTTTTCTTTGAATGTTTCAAAATTCTTGAAAGTTTAATTTAAGATTCTACATACTTGTAAGTTAATCTTAAATCTGTTAGAAAAGTTAAAAATACACTGGTACAATTTATTGTATATTTATTTGGAGTTAAAGTTTTTATAAAATTCGTCGAAGGTTATGAAAATTTACAGACTACAAATATTTTGTAGTACTTACCTATAACATTTATAAAATCTTTAATTTTTATAGTTAAGCTAAGGTATGAAATTTAATAAAATATTACCATATCTTGGTATTTCATTCTGGAACTAAAAAAATCTTAAAAATATACAAACACAATTATTTTTTAAACATAGTTGTGATTCAAATTTTTTACGAAATTACGTACATTAACGATGAATATTGATTGTTGATGTTAATTATTTTGTTACAAATCAAAAACATTAATCGTGGGAACTTGAAACTATTACAAGCATTAAATTACTATGAATTTTACTATATGCAAATAAGCAATGATATTTGATTTATTTTAAGCAGTATTATAGCTGTTTATACCATGAACCTATTTTTATTGTTTTACAGTATTTACAGAAAGATTTTATTATATTTTAAGTTATATTATATAACTATATAAGCTGATGTATAATGGTAAAAATTAATACTCGTAAATACATATTATTATAATAATTAAAAGCAAATAACATAATAAATGTAATATTTTCGAGAAACATTTTGAAAACCTTCTGTAATACTTAAAGTAAATTAATTGAATTAATAGCTATATTAAAAAATATACCATTTGAAATAAACGTAGTGATAAAGGTTGACATTCTGATAGATTCTCTGTTCTCAATCGTTTTTCATATACAATAATTAAGAACATATCGTTGAATTCAAATCGAACATACCTATACAAGTGACCCATTACTAAATAACTAAAATCTAATTATATAATATACATCAGAGCAGTATCCACTTAAGATACCTTCTTAAAAAATTATCCTTAAAAAATAACGATTTCTTAAAAATGATTACCATGTTATAGGTTTTGTTATGGTTGAAAAAATATTAATCGTTTAAATATTCTATTGTTACGTAAATTATGGTTTTTTATACTTCTTACAATTTTCAAAATATTTATATTAATTTTTAGCTATTTATTAAACATTTTAAATTTTTTATTTTTTTATTTTAAATTAAAAATAAAATTTTTTAGATTTGGTTAAATCTTTTGAAAAATTATTTAAAAAAATACTATTTTTGAAACCCAATCTATAAATAGCTATCCAAGCGTGTTATAATATTATATTGTAATTAACAAAATATATGACTACGATTGTGAATAACGTCATAGGCATGCATTTTTATTTAGTAATTACTACTAAATATCACAGACTATGTTTGTATAATTTGGGATAACACGTAATAAATCTAAAAAAATATGTTATTATATAATATTATTCATCAAATTTCCTAAAACAATAAGCTTAAGTGTTTTACAAAATATATTTAAATAATTGCTATAGTGATAAATTTGTGTAAATATAAAATAATACCTGTGTACAATTATTATAAGATTAATTGAAGCTAAAAAAAATGTAAAATGTGTATGATAATAAATTTGTAAAAGCTTCTACTAATATGTTGGTCAAATAAATAGTTTTATACTTCTTTAAATCAAAAAAATGGTTATTACACATCTACCGATAAGATAAGAATAGGTAAGAAATTAAATTTGAAAAAAATGGCATGAAAATACTTGTTTGCCCGGTAAGAAGTATTGAGCCACTTCGCCTCTGGCTAGAGGTGTAAATATGTTGATTACAATTTCGGTTTTTATCTTCATGATTGAACTAGTTGCTACTGTTGTTAGTAATACCTATAATGTCACCACACGCGGTTGTAGAATTACGAATAGCAATAAGCTTTCGTAGGATAATTCGTTTTAAATAAATCGTATCACAAAAACAATGTAATCAATCCTGAATCCAAAATATATTTAAATAAGAAAATATGAGAATACTGGCCAAAATGGCGGTCGATAATTAATTATTTTGTAATGTATACATTACCAACAACAGGCACGAGTTCGTTTTTGTCCAAGGTGCATGTTGACGGTTGAACACACGGCAAGAAATGAAGATATGTCATTGGCTTGTCCGCAAGCCCGGATTAAGGGGGGACAGGAGGGGCCAAGTCTCCGGGGCCCACGTGTGTTAAGGGCCCATAGTTTTCTCGGTTTAAAATTACATTAAGTGATAATTTGTACTTTTTATAGTACCTACAAAAATATTTTTATTTTTTTTTTGTTTGAGCTAACAGTCGATGGGTCTGTCGACCGTGTTTACCACCAATAGTATGGTAAGTGTGGAAACATAGCGTCATAGCCATGCTTGTGTTTGTTGGGAATAGGCATATATTTTGATATTACTGTTTTTAAAAATAGAATTTGGAAAATTTGTTTATGTGACTGTCTCGGTCATGGATACTCATAATTTAGATACCTTCCGACTAAACCTATTTACATAAACAAAACTTAATTTTATGTGTAAATATATATTTTAATAAAAATATAATATTTTTTTAATATTTTTATCCTCATCAATCGTTATCATTAGAGAGCGGATTTTTAGGTTTTTACATATTTTTATTGGTTATATGCAGCTTTATGAGAGTGAAAAATGTGAACGACTTATCCATCACAGAGTTCGTAGAAAAAAATTTATTTAGCATATTAAAGCATATTTTGGACTTAAGAGAATATTTAGCCTATTTTTCATATTTTAGAATATAATATTCTATTATTGTTCATAAAAAATCATATTATACATTATTAATTTATTGATTTGTGATATTTTCCAGCAACAATTTTGTCTAGGAAAAAAAATTATTTTATGTAAGAATGATAAAAATTAAAAATCATCCAATTATCTACTTGTTTGTAATCAAATTGGTAATGATGATCATTCTGTTACTCTTAATTCATGATTGTACTTACGATCTTATAATAACGTGATAAGAATGATTTCTAATAATAAATCTATTTTTACTTTTATATTGTTTATTATTTTAACTTTAATGTGTGACAATTTAGTTAAATTTGTAATATTCATTTTTATTTTTTTTAAATACCGAAAATTAACAAAAGTTTAAAATATTTACATAAACAGTGGATTGAGTCGTATAATAAAACAAATGATACAGTATTTACGACTGATGGTGATATAGTTTAGTAGGTAACTAAGTATGAACTAATTTTGTTTTTATTAATTTTATTTGTTTTTTTATTAATATTTCATTATATTTATAAAGGTAACTAAGTATGAACTGATTTATATTTTATAGTTAAATAACTTAGCTGTTACTAAAGACCATACAAGTTATGTATTGTTTTTATTAAACTATTTTGTTTTTATATAATATATTTCATTGTATTCATAAACCTATGAACTGTTTTGTATTTTTTATAGTTAGATATTTTATATGTTACCAAAAAGGAATGGTACATAAGTTATTTATTGTTTTAATTGAATTATTTTGGAAAAAAAATAAATCATATTATCTGCATATTTACAAGTTTAAGGAATATTTAGAGAATATTTTAGGGTTTTTTTAGAACATGTTAGCATCATATTTTAAGCTTTTAAGAACCTAAAAATCTGCTCTTTAGTTATCATACTTAAATAAAAATGTTTAAATTTGTTTTATTGTATAATTTTATAATTTTAAAGAATTGTTTTTATTGACGGGAGCCCACAACCATGTATTGGCCCCTGGGCCCCTGAAGCTCTTGATCCGGGCTTGCTTGTCCGTAGATGGCGGAAAAAATGACAGATGATAGTTAAAATAATAATAAAATAAATATAATAATAATTAGAAAGTATTCTAATTGGCCAATACTTCGAATACGTATTAGATTAGCTATCGATTCGATGTCGTATGCACCGTGGTTTGGAATGGAGAGGAATCGTAATTACAAACAGGTGTTATTGTCCGTCACTTCATCGAAAATAGAAGATAAGATGTCAGATGAGTTGAGTGTGAAACGATAAACCTTATCGCGCTCGAGTCCATTAAGTTCTTAGTAATACAATACATAGCAATATGTTATTTGAATAAAAATAAAATATTAACAATATAAATTATATCGGTCACGACGAAAACGTCCGTCACACCATAATATGCAAGTATAATAATGTTATATAATATTAATTAATTTAGAATGAATATTTTCAATATCAAAAATCTGAACTTGGGACATTTTATAGGACGGTATTTATGAGACGATGATTTTCGATATTTATATATATTTTTTTCACGAATTCATAAGCCATGTCGCTGTTGGGGACAGAAAAATATAATTGAAAACCAAAAAAAAATTGATAAATACAAAACACTATAATAGTCAGAAAAATAAGAAATTGCAGGAATTATGAGTATAATCTACTGCAGTTAATAATTTTTATATCGTGTCTTAGTGGGTCTCCACATAGTGTAAAATTATAAGCTCATAGTCAAATTTTATTTATTATTTTGTTAATGCTCGAATAGCTACCAATTTTTATATCTCATTATCCAATAGCTTCAACCATTAGTTTCATTACGATATATTATTCGTTCAGCTCTAATAGCAGTCTAATTTGTTACTGTATTATTGGTCCAAATAGCAAATTATTTATTGTCATACATTTTATCCACTACCTATAATATTTACTCTAATAGCAAATAATGTTATCATTGACTATACAGTTTTTTAGCGCAACACCTACATATTCTACACATTAAACAAAAACACATTTTTCATTCACGTAACTTCCGGCAATTCTGATCACCAGTGATCAAGTTACTTAACCTCGCACCTCCACACAGTACACACATACACACATAATTACACACGTGTTTCGGTCAATATAATAGCGGTGCACATTTATATCGATAACCAGGCGCGCGTTTATTATTATACGTATTATACTCTCTGCCCATTCAGTCGGTTTTACGATTTACAATAAATATCATCATAACCGATTAACAATTATGAATGTTAAGACCCACATGCATGACATGCAACGATATGGATCGGCTGGCTCGGACCGCGTCACCAACCTATCGGTCTGTTTTGCTTACAGAGATATGCCGAAGATATCCCTTTCTTTATTATTTTTTTTTTTTTATAATGGAAGTGTGTCCATAATCTTATTGAAAAAATATATTTAATAGCTCGATTGCGTATTCGGTCTGCAGCTGTGTATAATTAAGATAAACTAGGCAGCTAAGTAATTTTAAGATAAAAGTAAGATTATTAACCAAAATATTTAAAATTTAAAACTATAATTTTACAAATGTAATCTAAATTCTAAAAATAATGACTGCGACATATTGGGGAAACCGTATCTTATTATTCAGCATCGATATAACTAAACGCAACTACCTACGATTCATTTACAGTCTAAAAGTGCAAGTAAAATAGTTTCTTTATAGACAATTCAGGTAATTAATTTTCAAAAAAAGTCTGTTAGATTATGTGTTAAACCAACACATTAAGAAAGTTAAAAAAAAAATTTCTAATTTAATAAAGCAATATAAAAAAATTAGTAGGTAATAGGTACAATCACCTAAAATTAAAAAAACCCAATGCTTAGAGCTACGTTGAAAATATGACCTTTTTTCTTGGGGACACATTCCGATAATATCTTATTGTACTTATTTCAGATACACTCAAAGCATTAAATAAAGGTCATTCTGGGAACACATTCGAGAACTCCGTTGTCTACGACGCATTCTCGGTAGTTTTTTGTTACACACCCCAAAAACCAATTTTTATTGTTATATTAACATCGTTATATTATATTATATTATTAACTATAGTTTATGGGTAGATACATTTTCCACGAATTCAATATCTTTTGTCGTGACAACCACTATTCGATATAAAATACGAGTATACAGTTTTACAACACGATTATAGTTATATTTGTTAAGTGTTACCAGCACAACGTTACAATACACAATTCTAATGAATTCAGTGTTATTTTTGTGAATATTTTTAATTATTCACATTTAAATAAACGTACAGAGAATCATCTATACATAATTTAAAATATAGAACTACATTTAACTGGTTATATTGTTTGCAAAAAATCTTACCCGCCACAATCTTTAATGTTGAACAGCATATGTCCGAGAAATGGAACGTGTGTTGTTTCAACTTCATCTAAAAAATTTTTAATTTTTAATGTTTAAAAATCGATTGAAATATTAATCAATAATAATATTACTTGTTGCGCATAATCTTTTGGTATCTATGGGATCATAATTGTCAAAAATTATGGACCGCATGCTAGTTTTCCCAGAACTGCCCTGACCCATTATCAAAATCTGTTAAATCAAATTAAATAAATTCTTCACCATACAAATATCAAAGTAACAATCAATATTAAATAAAAAAAAAAAAATTATTATTTGTATTTCCTTGTTTAAATCTAATTCAGCCACACACGGTGTTTGGAGTTTGGACACAACTATTACACATGTAAATAACTGTAAAAACTAAAGATAACAAAGTACATTTTTTTTAAAACGTTTTTGACATGACAACGCAAACATGATTCATTACTTATTAGTATACGTATTTAAATAAAATAGCCTATCAATGAACGGTTTTCTCAAGAATTTTTTATTGAAGGAGGATATACAAAAATGTCTTAAAATATTAGCTATAGGGTTTTTATCCTAACAATATCTCGCACATTGAGTCTACTCGTGAGCCGAATAAGTTCCTAATTCTGCTTGAATTTTGTTTTTGAAGTTTTTAAGCTTATTATTTAACTATTTAATTTAATTTTTAATTTTAATTGAAGAAATTTATATAATATACAAAATCACATAAATAGTGCATATAAAAATATACCTAATATAATTATGATTTACAACTATATTGGATAGTATACGAGTATTAGCTTTGTAGTTACTAATTATTATCATTATTAATTATACCGTAGAACTCATAAATAGCCTTTAGTTTGTAAAAATGGTAGGGGAAATCGAAAAATAATATATTAATCATTGCATCACAGGAAATTGTAAAAAGTCTCTCAAACACATTAGTACATTACAATATTTTAAAATCAATCTCCCAAACTCATTATGATAAATTTACCAAAAAAATATGTTTTTTATAAACTCCGACGGAATTAATTTTTCCAAAATTTTGAGAACCAACAAATTTATTATTAAATCTTAATGGTGAATGAATACAAAATTCAATTATTATTAATAAAAACAATAGCCTATATGTATAGTTTAAATGTCAAAGCTTACCAAATGACGGAACACGAACATTTTTCAATGTCTTCTAATGATATTTTAAATAATTCTAATTTTAATCATTACTATACTTTTGTAACTGACTTGCTTTTTCACTATTTTTTTTTATTATGTTCTTCAAAAATATTTAATGTTGGTAGTTACGATTTGTAATATATACATATATTATGTATTTTATATGTAATTACATCGTCAAATTTAGTTCCTATTTCATCATTCTTTCAATGTTTACTGCCTCATTTCATTTAATTATTTTTTTATTTTTAATAAACTAATTATATTATTTAATTACACTAAACAGTTATCAGGTAACAAAATGTAATATAAAATTTGCATGTATAATTAAGTACCTATCACTAAATCAGTAATACAAGTAATTCAAAATAAAATTACATTTCAATGTTACAATATTACATTTTAACTTAATAAATCAGTTTCATAAATTTAAATTTGAAAATATTTAATTAGCAGTGCGATATCAAGTATTACTATTGTCAAAATTGATTGCGTTGTACTTCACATAAAACAATATTATAACTATAAAAATAATAATAAATAAATAATAAATATTATTGTTATTTAAAATCATAAATAATTGCATTTGTTCTAAGATGTAAGTAATATATTTTGATACACCGCACATCGTGATATTATATTATATCAATGTATCCAATAATCTATAACCTAATAACAATAATAACAAAAATAATCGTAAAATAACATTATAATAATTAAAAAAATAATGTTAGAAATAAACCAAGCGGCAAAATTGAACGGTAGTGAACCGGAAAACGACCATCGTTGTTTACTCGTATAACAGGTTGTGGTATATTTGCAGTCAGGACCTTTTTCGTGCCATTTGCAGTCAATTAACTTTGATCTACCTACACATTGAATTAAGGTATATAATATGCTATAATTTAGATGCAATATTTTTTAAATGCTTAAAACTTTTTTTAATATTTTTTTAGGCTTAGGACTGGCAATAATTTTTATTGTCTAGTTTAAACAAGTTTTTTCCTTGAGAAACAATTTGTCAACTTTTAAATGAACATAAACTTATATGCCATAATTGTATTATCTTTTGTATTATTAAATAATAAAAATCCGGAATATTAATCACTATCATTTAATATCTGCTCTTAACTCTTAAGTCTCCAAGTGATTTTCGTCTTATAATACGATTTAAAGTTAGTTGTACTAACGAGTAAATTGGAATTTTGATTGCTAAATGTATTCCTGATTAAAATCAAAATAATAACATACTATTGAGCATTTAAAACAATTCAAATATAATATATAACTTGAATATGGAGTATTGCACTCTTGCCATGTTGATACAATAATTATGAATATGCCAACATTCAGTGCAATCAACATAATATATTATTATACCCTGAATTTTCGAGTTTTAGAAATAAAAATTATAAATTGTGTAATAATTAAACCTAAAAAATTGTTTTAGTGCTTCATTTTTTAAATTAAAAAAAAATTCTTCCGCTAGCTTTATTTCTTATTGGTATATTAAATTAATGCTAATTGGTAAAATGCATTAGCGTACATACTAAACATTTTCTTATAAATAGTTACTTTTATTAACTAATGTAAAAACTACTGGCGTTTAAGCCGTTTAAAATGAATATAAGTTAGACAAATAAAATATAGTTTAGTATAAATAAATAATAACTAATTGTATTATCTTTTAAATATATGACATTTCCTTGATTTTGAGTTGATATATCTATTGTTGAAATTGTCGTTAAACACGGAAATAATAATTGGTTGTATTGCTTATTATACAATTAAAACTTATTGTAGGTACTACAGTACTTAATGTTATTTTTACTATACTTAATATTGTTATAATAGTGATTATAAATTAATACTAATCACATGATAATTTATGGTAAGAATGGTAATTTATGGAAGTGGTGTTGTGTGTTATATTTATAATGGGAAATTATTTTTACTCGAAAAATTTTGGTATGTTGATTTCAGCATTATACTCATATTAGTTTTATGCTTTAGAAATACATGTTTTACTCGAACTCGTATCGTTGATATTGGATATAATGCACATCATAAATACTATTCCGTTAACTAACCTTGTTGAAATCCATTGATACACTCATTTAGCAACATAAATATATAATTCTTCTACCCAGAATTTAACTCCTAGCCGAGGTATACAGGCATAATAAAAAGTAAAAACTATTGTAGTAATGATCATGGTAATTCAAAATTCATATAATGATTAATAATTATGGATAATATAGATAAATACTCACGTTTACTTTTCGTTTTCCTAATTTACGTAATGAATGTGTAACTGTGCCTGACATTTGTTCAGATATCTCGCCGTCTGATGTATATTCAACTGCTGCGCCTTTTAAAGCTTCCATTTTTTTATACTTGTACGTATAGATATTGGATATTCTGAGCAAAAATATCAAAAAACGACATATTAATAATTTAAGAAAACATATTTAATATTGTACAGTTAAATTTTAAATTTGCACCAATGTAGATTTAAAAAAATGTTTGATGTGTATTTTAAATTGTTTTGAAAACATTTAATATATTAAGGACACATTAAGTGATAAATGTATTATGTCAATGCAGATCCTTTTTTTCTAATTTATATTTTTGAAAAATAATAATTACATAAGAGCTTTATGTATTATTTCATATTTGTAAACAATTTTAAATTTGTAATATAATAATCGTACTATGTATTTTCATATACCTACACGAGGATATATACTCGTAAGTCGTAACATACGCATTAAATAATTGAATGAATAAAAATACAACTCATCATAAAACACATCTATGATAATTAAATTGAGTTTTAATTTGTTATGAAACAATTAGCAACTCAGAATTAATAGAAATAGATAATAAATATTATTAATTTACAATTTAAAACATTTGAATTTTATATCTGATACAACACAATTATGTGATACTTCGACAATTTGTTCAGTGCTTATCATACTCCAATTTAATTTATACTTTTCATTTTATTTAGGTATGTAAATATAGTATACTAATATGTATATAAAAAAAAAAAAATTAATTATAAAATTAAAAGTTGTTTAAGTATAGAAATTATTTAGGAAAAATTAAATAAGGTGTCTTGAAAAAAATTTGTTTTTTGTTCATCAAAAATTATGTTTGAAAAGTATTTCTTTTCAAAATTTAAAAATCATTTTTTTGTAATATCATAATTCCATTAAACTACATCAACGGTAAAATTAAAATTTTAAATTGCTGTACGTCTTATCCTCTAAAGTATATCAGATATGTTGTATTGGTCTAATAAACCGTGCGATATATAATAAATTGCGTTCAGCAGGACCAATATAAAACCTAACTTACGTTGTTAACTTTAATATTAAAATTATTAAACAACATAGGTTACTCTTACTATTACCAAACTATAAGATAATATATATTTTTCATCTATATTTGCAGTGGCATAATTTGGAGCCCCTTCTCCTCTCGCTGGGACGTCAAACGGCCGCTGGATTGTCTAAAGTCGCCTATTTTATAAGCAATAATGATACAAATCGACAAAATAAAATGATATTTTTTAATTTTACGTAATATTGATATAATTTATTAGAGTAAATACCAGATATATAATATAAGATACATAATAATCATGGTTTTTTTTTAGAATATATTATAATATATATGAGCTATTTATTTCAAAAGACGAATAATATAAAATTTAAAAAGCACTTTTTTGATTTTTTTATCTTCTTGAGGTGCGCCTCCTAGATCTATAATTGCGAAACTTTATATAATTATATTTGTTTGTGGTTTTAAACAAATTCCAGTGAGTGTCTGGTCAATACTTATCTAAACGATAAGGACCTAATATATGTATACTACAATATACATTCTATATTTAAACTTTTCTACACATTTTTTCCAGGCTTAGAATAGGCAATGTTTCTTCTAGCTCGTATTAACTAGTTTTTCCTTAGTAAGTAATTTATTTTACTTTATTTAATATTTTAATCATAAACCTGATG